ATCTCCGATTGTTTGTTTTGCAGAATAACAAAAGAAGAAGAAGAATTGCTCCGTTGATTCTTCATTTAGAAATGTGATGTTTTCGAGTGGTGACTGCTTAAGAAGTCGTCAGAAGACTCCTTTGAAATAAATTTATTCTATTGCTTTCGAGATTTTTGTTGTGCTAGAGAAAATGGTGATACTATTCGTAAATATCAGGATCTCTGTTGAAATGTAAATCTCCATGAAACGCTATCAATGCAAGAATCAGCGCAAGCAAGATTTTTGGTATAACTATCGATCTTTGTACTATCGCACATGCTTAGTACTATGCGGCGTTCAAAGGGCACGCTACTATGTCAATTTGTGGCAATGCGACTACCTGAACTTGGTTTCTCTACCTATATACATAAGGTTAAGCTCTGCTTTAAAATCTGTGTTCCCCTTTATATTCTGCTATGGCTCTCTTTATAAAGGAACATCTGCAATAGCCAGTGGTATTTTGGAATTTTTATTTTACTAAGAAGCAAATTTTAGTGAGTACAAGGGCATGGTCCGCAGCGTCGCGGGAATGACGAATCAATGCTGAGCGATATTTTTTTAAAAATAATATTGTATTTGTTCTATGAGTTTATATTTGTGCATTAACCGTTAGCAGTAATGATTTGAGATTTAAGGCAAGGCCGGCAAGTAAGTATAATTGAAGCAGTGATGCTTTTTTGCAATTTTTGCGGTAACTAACTTGTTTCAAGCTGACTGGTTGTTCTGTTGCCATAATATAAAATTTTAAATGTTTGTAAAATTTTGTCCAAGTGAAAAAAAATTTTTATTTTAATCTTGTTGCTTAGCTACGCTGCGGCTCTTTTTGCCTTATAGTTATCTTATACCGATTGTTAGAGCAAATATCAATCATGGACAAGCTTGTGTTGGTACTGTTAAGTGTAGCTGTGGTGTTGGCATCTTCCGTATTAATACTCGCAACGATTTGGTTAATATCCATATTACTCTGCAGATTTGCGTTTAAGAAATGTAAGATTCGCTTATTGTTGACCACTCATAGCGTATAGAATCTATTTGGATTTTTTCATTTAATTTATTTTTTCACTAAAGTAATTTTTGTTTTTTGAATGAATTTTATTAGTGTACAAATACGGTGAACGTCGGTCTTCAGGTTCAATTTTATTAGGAGGGCCAGGTTATGAGCTCGCCCGGTGTATTCATGCATGAACATCAGTTACGAGTACATGTGAGACTGACGCTTGGTGCTGGTTGTTCCCGATATAAAAGCCAGCTATTGTACGCGACAGACATGTACATGAAAGTATTCAATATCAGTTTAGTTTTTTTTTTTTTTAATCTAAAATTTTATATTGTTTCATTTTTAATTTATATTTTGAAAAACTTTTGAAGTTGTGTGTTATGAAAATACAATGATTTTCCATCAATGTCAAGACGCTTTTGCCTTTTTCAATTTTTTTTCTACTATGACGATCTCTATTTTGTCAATAAATTATAGGCATAGGCGTAAATCTCCTTATATGGCAATCCACAGTAAGACTTAAAACTATTAACGCTGAAAATAGCAAAGGAATTCATAAAAAATGGTATCTAATGGTATGGTATTCTAATTATTAATTCCCGAATCGACACTTATACATACTTCTACTAACTATTCTATACAAATAAGGAGTCCCCTGCCAACATCAAAAATATTGAGAATCGTCGTTAATGTTGGGCAACTGCCCCATTATCACGGAGATTTTAACTAATAGGGAAAACAAGCAAATTCTTCCCAAAATTTTATTAAAATGTAGTTGTGCTAGACTTCTTCATGTCATTAATGCGAATTCCTGCTAAGGCGAATTTTTACTAAAACGGATTCTCAATGACTTCCTACTTCTGCTAAAATCTTCTAATACGACAAAAATCTTATGCTGCGGATCGTTAGTACTTGAGATCTTTATCTTTATTAACCAGTTAACTGGCTTCGATATGTATAGGCGTCATGTCAAATACGAAATTACGAATCGATATAAAAACTCAAACTTTTCATAAAACGTAACCACCATTAGTGGCAAATTTTCTTTATAATGTAGCAAAACCTGCGACAAATTAAAAAAAGTGGCATAAATTCCTTAGTGTAGAGATTAGTTCAGTATAGTCGCTTTTTAATCAATGACTTGATTATTATTTTAGCAAAACCACTTGAAATGAGTTCCGTCTGCTCAAAAAAGGAAATCCGTATGCAGTCAAGTTACTGCCTCTCGCGTTGTAAAGTGTAGCTTTGTTAAATTAAGTTTAATTTAATTCCTAGGGCTAACATAACAATGAGGCTTCATTTTCGTTTTCGAGTTAAAAACTCACAAGTGCATCGCATGGGACGGACGTGCTCTCATATGATTTTACAGGAAACTATAGACAAAAACGTACGGTTTCAGAATCAAAAATAAAGAAATCAACGTAAACGTAAACAAAAAGTTATAAAAAATAACTATAAGAGAATTAATGTAAAATTAAACAAGTTTGTTTATTGATTAATGATGAAGAAGATTGATTGGATATATGTAATATTATATATATATGTTTGTGTATTAATTGATCCATAATTCGAAAGCGACCATATATCGCTCTCTAATAAAACAATTTGATGAATATATTTCAACTCTAAAATCCTGGCCCTTATTGTTTGTTGTTCATGTCTTACAAGACAAATGATATAAACCGAAATTGCAAAACACATAACATAAAAAAATGTGCGGTACACATAAGTTAGATAAATAACTTTAAAATTTAAAGGAAACGATCATCATTTCCTTTTGTGAGTTCTTATCATTTTGTTGTATTTGTACGTATATACGTAGAACCAAATAATTTATCAATTCCCATAAAGTTTTGTAAAAAGTCGGCAAAGTTGAAGTCTCAACCCGACATTAGGAATTTTTCTTGCTTATGAATTTATCAGTTTGTGACGATTTTAAAAATTACAGCAACAATATCGTCTCCCACAACGATATGTCATTTTCTTATCTAATAAAAATGACGTTTTTTTTCGCTTTGGTTTGAGTTCGCTTATTACGCGAACATTTGTATTGCGTTCGACGCAAGTCACATACTTCGTGTAGACCGTTAGAAAGTATATTTCGTAAGTGAAGGGTTAACGGTTTTTATTTTCATTAACGCGATAATCTTTGCTAGCATAGACATCCTTTTGATTGGTTTTCTTTTGAGCTCTTTATTTTGAGTCATTTTCTTGAATTTATTTATAAAATCGTTTGCGCATTTACTGAAATATTTAAAAAAATTTTAAATTATTACATAAAGTAGAAAAGCGCCGCAGTACTTCACACGAAAAAAAATTTTTTTGGAGGAAATTTTTACGTGTGCCGCTACCATTTTTTAGGTCATAGCAACATCTTCAAAGCGAGAACGTGGCATTTTCTCGAAGCATTAAATAGAAAATGAATAATGCAAAGCCTTTTAAATTGGTTCAATAGAATTGATTGGCTTGAAAAGCATAGGTCCGAAAAAGGAAAAGCCATTAAAAAACTTTCTTTTGCAACAGTTCTAAGTAATCTTAAAGAGTAACCTCATTTAAAAGAAAAAAAAATTGAACTTTGAAGCAACGTAAAAAACTTGAATCCCCACAGTAATGGGAGTATGAATATATATATAAATGTTTTTGATCCTCACGAAAATTCTTAGTTGTTGTACTTAAATATTTCAGACCTCACTTGAACGATGGGAAATATTTTATACAGTCCTGGGCTATATTTACTTTATGGACGTCTTTATTGCGCGCCTTTATTAACATGCGAATCCTTGTAGGCAAGGGAATGGTCTTAATACTTTAATCTTTAAAGGTAGTTCTGCAAATATGGTTTCTATTAATATGAAAGTCTATCTACTCGTGATGGGTATCTTACCTAATAGTAGCTCTAACGAATTTGTCTCAATATAGAAATCTTTATAAATATATTTTTTTCTATCAAGATATCTGCAATGTCAGAGAATGTCTTCCGCCGCTAATATTCGAATTGTAACTCACTTAATATAAAACCTAACTTAAAGGTTTTTTAAGAACAGGAAAACTTTCTAATATTGGCACGTCTTCATTGGTGCGAATGGTAAAAAGCGTACGTCCACTAAGTCGGCTTAATATTTATTAACATAGTTTTTCTAATTGGTAAGTGAATCTCTACTCTAGGCCTGAACATTTGATAATATTGGATACAGTATTAATAACAGTGATCTAGTCTCCATTAGCAACGACCTCTGCCATACGCGAACTCTTATTAATACCTTCGCATTTGCTTTCGCGAATTCACCGCCGGTACACTTCTTAGTTTATACTCCTAATACGGGTGTCTTAAGTAATAACTTAATCTCCACTATCCAGATGAATGTTTAGTAATATGTGAAACTCCATTAGTAGAATCGTCTCTATAAATATGAGTGACGATCAATGCCAATTCTTGGCTTGCTGCGCCAACCTTTGTTAATACTAAAGTGTATACTTGCAAAAATGTCCGTTATTTTGATTAATTAGTTAATAAATTTTATTTAATCATTAAATATATTATTATCGTCAATTAGGTTGAATTTAATTTTTATGATAGTAGCCATCTTTAGATTTTATTACCGGTAGTGCGAAAATCTTTCTTAATAAAAGATCACATCCGTTGATAAATGGAAAGCTTTGTAATGGTTGGAGTTTGACGAAATTGTTTTATACCAACAGAGCGCCTGACTAGTTTACCTACCATACATGATTCCCAGCACTTTCCATGACACTCGCACCTTCTCAGTTAAATCTCTTCGCCATGCAGAAACGACGACGCATAGTTAATACTAATTGTCTAAGTTAGTTATGAATTTTTTTTCTCATTCACACACTGCTACACATATTAAAGCTGATGTTGCTGGAATATCAAAATCGAAATATTTGTAAAATTGTTTTCAAAGTGACAGGAAGCTTTTCTTTTTGATAGGTGTATTTTTCTGCATAAACATTTTGCTAGAGATTCGTTTAATTACTTTACATTTACGATTCCTGTTTCGCCAGTTATTAGTGTAAAGATCAGTAATGAAGAGTGAAGTCGTCGGCTTGGCATTCTTGAGTGTTCTCTTCTTAGTGATATTTATGGCGTTTATATTTGTCTTGTGGTGGTTGCTGATGCTGTTTATTTGGAAGACAATAATTTCCAGGAGTAAGGTTTGTTTTCCACCTTTTTCCACTGTAGCAGTGCTTTCTCTTTATTTGCAAGAAATTGTTTATGTAAATAATTTTAAAATTTTTGGTTTATGTCAATCGACTTTTCCTTCTTTGCTTTTCTTTGAAAGTGACTTTTTTTCTTTTTCAAATAAATTTCGATAGTTTACCGCATAGCTGGACGATTCGACGCAGCCATACAATTTATATGGATGTCTTTTTTTAATATTGCCGTTTACCCAAACATACGTAAATAAGATTCAAAGAGAACTTTATCGGGTTGAGGGACGAGTCTGCTGCTATCGAACTTTAAAGAACAAAAAAAAAAGAAAAAAAATTGTTTCTCGAATACGTACACATATGTAAAAATGCTGTCATTTTTTCTTATTATTCTATAAACGAAATTCTGTATCAAAATTATCAGTGAGGAAACATTATATTCAAGATTTAATGTTTGCGATAAGTGCAACTAAATATATTGAAAGGATTAATATTTCAGATAAATATTACGATTAATAAACGAAGTGATATCCCTGCTCTCTTTCTTCCTTATCTCTTTTCAAATTAGAAAAGCATTTTATCGAATGAGTGATTGTATAGAATGGTGTTTTGGAAGTTTTTCTTAAATCTTCCTAATTACTTTTAGAGGCTTACTATACTTACCTGCGCGTAGAGAGGACCCAGAGACTTGCGAAATGTAGGAACACATAGAGAAGCGAGCCGAAAGCATAACAAGCCGGAGCAGCAGTATAAGGTGTTTCTCTTCGGAAGTTATTATCGAAGCTTGTTCGGAAAGAAGCCGCAAGATTGTCTTTTTTAAACTAAATGAAATGAAGATCAATTCAACTGCCTTTGTAAGTAAGAAAACCTTGAAGCTACTACGGAGGCCAGGCAATTATTATGCTTAGCTTTTAGGTGGAATTGCACTGCGTTTGTAAAAAGAAAAACATAATTAAATATTAATAATAGGCATAACTACTTTGAATATTTTAGCGAACAAACTAATGAATTACTTACATATTCGTGATATTATTAATAAATGATAAAAGTAAAACTTCCCCTGCAGGTTTAGAGCGAGATATCCTATGTTGCATAAAGTTTAACAAAGTAATCAGAAGACCTACAATGTGACCACGTTCCTATTGCGGACAACTCGCACTTGAATATGTTGCTCGTATTATTTGGTTAGGTTTTACATTCATTGCGCCTTCGATGTAACGGCATTTTTTGCCTAACCATGTGGTTCGAAAGTTCATTCATTTAAGAAAGAAAAAATATTATACGAAACTAAGATTCGGGAGCAACTATTCTTGCGCAAAAATTGAAATAATTATGCGAAATGTAGGAATGAAAGCCACGACGAACAGCTCTATACTCGCATCAGATCGATGATTACATACCTTACAATACTTTACACAATAAACTTCTTTATTTATTTTCCCGATCAAGTATCCAAGAATTACGCCTTATTTCCTTCTACCGTAGCTCTAATCATACAGTAAAATTGACGCGGTCCACATTTAACTGGAATCTTATTATTCTTCACTTATTTTCGCCAGAAAGACCTAATAAATACCCTTTCTTGCCATAAAAATGGTTGCTTTTTATTTGGTGGGGTTAAAAAGATAGACCTATGCATTCCAGATGAGGATCACTCATTTTTATGTCAAATAGCTACTATAGACCATTTTTATCATAAAGTATTAAAAAACGGACCGTGTTCCTCTATTAAGACTTATTCTGATAAGGAGTGCTTCACGGTTGGGTCAAATTCGATCCAAATTTTCCCCATTATCTACTTTTGTGAAGTATTTGTTGGATTTTTGTAGAGGTCTACTAAAAGTTGAATATTTTATCATACAAAGATTTTTTTGCGGCGTTACATCGGGAACGATGGTAAAAATTATTCGATCTAATCCTTTTTGGCCCGAATTTGCACTTAGTTTAAAATACGTCCGTATACTAAGTTTGAACAAAGCACCTTAGAAGTGGTGACCTACGGGTTGAACAGGAGAAAACAAGGCGCACAGATGGCCAGACAAGCTTAGATCCATTCAGAAAGGGATTCTCTATTGATCGGAATAGTAAAGGTTGGAGTTACCTCAAGTCGTTCTCCGCATTACATACATTCGTATAAAGTTAATTTATCGTTTACCACAAGTGGTGTAGACTATAGAAACTTTTCCGCTGAAGAAAAACTTCTGTATCTAGCAATAAAGTGGATTGGCGTTAAGCAAATTGCGTCAATATTATCCTCGCGGAAAACAACATTCACGTATATCGTTTGTTGGGCAAATTCAATGCGTTTAATTGATTTGTTATGGTCGGTTAGACTTTTTAGTTAATCTTCGATTTAATTAACAAACATTTTTTTTTAAACTGATTTTATTAACTGAAAAACGAAATTTTGCTCGACCATAGTTCTTATGAATTTGATTAAACTATGTATTTCTGTTTCTTTATATTTTTAATATATTTATATGCTTATCATGAGTAGTACATGTGCCAAACACTTCGCAATTAAAAGATACTAAGAACTATTCGTAACGCTGTGATTGTTAAGAACGGTTTACATAGTACGAAATGCTTTCGATATGCAATTCATTTTTGTTGCGCAAGAGTTTTCGACTCGCCATACGTAATAGGCAACCAGATATTTATAAATTGAAAATCCTTTGGGTCAATAAACTTGTATGTATTTTTAAATGAAAATAATCAAGTCTGGCATAAGGCAGCGCTTTTTTATGAAGAAATCTAATTAATTTCAAAAACTTTTGGAATTTCGAGTTACGCTAATTTGTGCATTTATTTTTCTTTATGTTGCATTTGCAAATTTTATATATACAGTCAAACCTGTTTTTGTGCGGTCTTTTTCATGCGCTCTTTTTTGTGCGATTCTTTTTTTTGTGCGGTATATGAATATCTACACATTGAATTTCGCCGAGAGGTTAGGTCAATCTGAACTGTGTTGGCATCACTTTTTTTTGCTATCAGTGTGTATGTACACATTGCAACAGCCATTTTCATACCTATTGCATCAGCCTATTTCATTAGGCATGCTCAATGTTCTTATGCATATTTTGCATTGAAAATTTCTCCTTGTTTAAAATTAGAAATTAAAATTTTTTTAAATGTTTCAATGTGTAATTTAATTATTTATTTTGTTTGGAAAGCACTTTCTTGTTATTTCGTGAAGCTTTGACATATTTTTTAAGTGAGAGTTTTTTTATGCGGTCCCTCTCTACCGCATAAAAAAAATTTTCTTTAATATGCTGTGAAAAATTATTTCTTATAGCTATTTATGAAGTTTTTGAATATTTTTTTTTTGTGCGGTTTTTTTTCTGCGGTCCCTATCTACAAAACAGGTTTGACTGTAATGATTTAGTTCCTTAGCTGCCCTACTCACTACTTACTACGCCTGCTTTAATATTCTCAAAATTTTTGGCTTTTTTCTATAACCGGTCAGACAAACGGAGTAGCCGTGCCGGTCTATTAAATGGATCAATTAATATTGACACTTTCTTGAATCTCGTGCGGGTTGAATGAAGTTTCGCATAGTAAATATCTTTCTCAGTCAGCGAGAATTGTAGAACCAATGCCATTCCTATTCATCGAACTGTTTGTTGAAGTGGCGATCGTAGTCCGTAAATTTTTTTTCCAAAGTAATAAAAAAAATTTGAATCGTTATATAGGCTTTAATCTTGCATTCTTTAATCTTCCTTTCAATAATATTACATAAAATGATCTTCCTCTACATATGCAAGCGTAACTTACTTACGCTTTAAGTATTTAAACTGACATATTTGAATTAAGCTTACATTGGCCATTGCAACATTTATTTTTAAGGAAATCTTTTTCAAAAATCTCGATATTTCTTTATTAACACTGGTGATAGGTAAGGAAATTCGATTCGATTTGAAATGAAAATAATATCTATTTGCTTTATTTTTTTCCCATAGTTAATTCTGCATGTGACAAAGATCGACATAAATCAAAATTAGAAAAAAGGTTTTCAAGTATACTATTAAACGTTATTGTAAGAATTGATCATGATTGTTGAAGCAATTCTGTACTTGACGGCCACGGTGTGTATAGTAATGATTGCTCTCTTACTTATATATTCTTGGCTTAATATGGCTTCCCAGTAAGTCTGTGTGCAGGCGCATTATTCTCTTCCCATCCTGGGTCTTATAGGACTAAGAATGCAGAAATCTGGAGGGTACTTGCAATTATTGTACGCATTGAACGACATAAAACCAACTGCCAATGCCGAAAAATTGTTTTTTTTTTTTTTTTTTTTTTTTAGGTATATAAACATATTTCGGAGCATCTGGTTATAAAGATTTACCGCTGATTTTATTTTGAATTGTGCTGGCGGGCTTCTACTGTCAGCAGTCGTACGAATAAATTGAATTGATTGTATTTTGAAGAATTTTTTGAGCAATTATTAACAATGCAAAATTTTTCTATGAAAACATATGTTGAGTGCAATAATATAAAGAATTTGAATTTTATTATGTAAAAATGAATCTGAAAAGCAATTGGATGTTCCCCTTATTAGATGTCAAATTTTTTAGTTTTTTTCTTAGCTGACATTTTCAAATCATAAATGACACTCAATTTGAATCATAAATGATGGAACATGGTAATGCTGGTCGTTGAAGAAAATTCTTTAAAGTATATGTACATTGTTAACTGTTGCGATGAAAATAAAAATGGGGTTGTGACGACTGCACATTCGATTGTAAGTTCAATACGGAAAGTAAACACAATAAGAGTAATTAGTTTCTTGTAAATAGTTCACTATTGGGCCAGGAATATTGTTGGAGCAATCTCAATCTCAATTAAAATTCTTTAAAGCATATTGTCAGTTGTCATGAGCGATAGAGATAAATATTGGGTCGTGGCGGTGATACTTGTAGCTGTGAAGGTTTCAGTACTAATAATATATTGCTATCGCCGTTGGTGCCCATCATGGAAATGAGTTTCTCTTTTCAGCTGTAACTTGCCTGCGTAATAAATTTTTTTCAAAATGTTGTATCATTATTTTATTTATTTATTTTTTTTATCCGCCTGAACGACCGAGTATGCAAAGGGTATGTTCAAATTCCAAATGCGGGCAGTATACGGCTCGAGATCGGTACAGAGACATGATTATTGATTTTTTGTGTAGATGATTTTGTTTTCCATGATACGTGGTTTCAAGAATATGGTGCAACGTATTAAATATATCGTGACGCAACCAATTTACTCATGGGCAGGTTGAATGATCGTGTAATCTTCAGAAATCCCTAAAGTAAATTGGCCATCAAGATTTTTCAATTTGGGGCAGAGCGAAGAGAATCATTGTTTTCTTCTAAAAACCACAAACTCTCAATATTCTTATCCTCGAAGATTGTTTGCATTTTTAATAAAAGCATTGGAGCAAATTTATGTGTTCTAGTGTCGATTTTTGACAGAAATCTAAAAACGATCTTACCCGATCTTTGAAGTAAAAAAACGTTTTATTATTAAATTCCACGGTTTTATTTTTGTTTCAAATTAAGCCGGTTATTTGATCACTCTATAGCTTGCATTGCTAGCAAAAGTTTATGTAAAGGGCAATGATAAGCGAACTAGTTTTGAGATCAAAAATCCCCAAGTACCTAAAGGTAAACTAAAAGAAATAACAGTCAAGGAAGAAATATCGAAAGAGCAATTATCCAGGAAAGGCATCGTGGAAACCGAACATTGATCGTCAAAACGAAATAATGGTATTGCTTTTTAAAAAGGTCAGTGGATATAAAACATTGTTCATTCGCATGTCATCAGAGTAATTTGGAGAAATTTTTAAGGGCATTCGATAACAGATAATTACTGCGCGTGTAAATCAGCTAAGCTTTTGTAATAATAATGTGCTTTCTTGATTTTCTGGCTGGGAGAGTTA